GGAGAGACTTGGATCAATTAATATATATGATAGACATATATAAATTACTGGACAAATGAATGTGACAGCATATATCTAAACATGACTATGCGAGCGAGCAGTGCCATGATGAAGGGCTAATCGGCCTTGGCGAAGAGCTTCCCTGGAACGAAATAGTCTACTTCAAACGCCAACCAGTCATGTGCAGTCGCGGTTGCTACAAACAATCAAGTTCCTTTCCAGGGAGAGACTCTGCTTGCGAAAACCTCAGGGCAGCTTGAAACCACTAAGAATCGCCGCGAAAACGCACGCAGTCACCAGGAAATCTGCAGCAATCATTTCTACTTTGAGCGTTCACGGCACGACCTTGGAGTCTTAACCCGCAGGTACTTACATAACGTCTTTTGCGGCGCTAGGGGCCGCTCTTGCACAGGTTTCGATCAGGCATGCGGGCGATCTCATCAGGAAGATAAGATTATGAACGTGCGTAGGAGGAGGAGGCAGAGTAATGACGGTATCCTTCTGCGGCGATCGAGGATTCGTACGGGAAGTAATCACAGGCGCGGGAGGCGGAGCGGCGTTTCTCGCGACTGGGTTACGCCACAATGAACGATAAATCTACAGCAGTGACCAGGGCGCCGAGGCTCCCCCGGAGGTCCGACAGGGGCTTGGGGGGGGGGGGATTGTAAAGACGTGAAGACATGGAAAGTGTAAACCTGGGGAAAGGGGGGAAAGGAAAAATAATATATAAAATAATGATATATAAAAATAAATATTACCAGGGAATTTCAGAAAGGGGGGTCACTGGGGGGCTCTGGGAATGTTTGTCAGAGACAAAAACTCGTAATGGAAACTTATATATAGGTACGTTTCCAGAGAACACGCTTTTTTTCCGAAGATTAGAGGGAGTTGATGTTGTAGAGAGTTTAGATATATACAAATATGCGATATGCGTATCGTTTTGTTAGAGAATGATACAAAGGCTCATGATGGATAGTTGTAGGCTGCAGATTTCGACGAGAGAAAAAAGGAGTACCATTTCTGAATTGCCTAAACACTCAAGATTACGGACTCACCCAAGGTATCCGCCATATGCAGGATTGCCGTAAAAAACGACTTCGATTGGAAAGTGGTGCGTCAGGGCGGACAAAAAGCAACAGGGCATGAAAATGATTGAAGACGTTATTGAATGAAGAAATAGGATAATATTAGATTTAATAAATTTCCAGATTTTTTATGTAATACTTATTAAAAAAAAATAAAAGTAACAAATTACAATGGAATAATGAAG